AAAGGTTTCTGCCACACTTAGGAAACCCACACACCCAGCTCTGCATTTTGGCTATCTGAATTCTGCTGCTTAGGTAGCAAGCTGAACAATAGGTGCTTCTTTCGAAAGAAGAAAACATATTTGGGAATAAAAGTATAGTATATTCTTGTAGTCATTTTCAGTTTTTCACCTTTTATCTTTCTTATCTTTCCCCCACGAACTAACTCAATTCTACCTTATCACAGAGTCTTTGGAGATCTAATGTTTTAGACTTTCTACGGATAGTTCTTAGCATATGCTGTCAACACCTCACTCAACAACTAGAGCAAACTCCCAGCTAACCTCCTTTTCTGTGCATCCCGTCTCTCCTAAATATGCCCGACGTGTAGCAGCCAGTCCCCTCTGCTGCAGTGGTGCCTTAGTCCTTTCCTCTTCATTGACTTGTTTGGGTTACATTCTCGTACGTAAAATCCATTCGAGTTAGCATTCAGCATTTATGCTTGCCATGTGTTTTTTTCATGCTGATTTTTGATGGGCTGGCAAATAACCATAATTCTCATTACTGGTGGTTACAGAACAAGATTTTTTAGGAAGGAGAACTCTGAATAATGACTTGAATGGAGCCCCCAAAATAGCTTTCTATAATGTGATGTTTACTATAAGTGCTAGTTTATTTTTAAATATATAATTGAGCACCACTAAACCAAACAGAATTCTGAGGGAAGAAATTAATATCCTAAAAACAAGAGTAAATAATTACATGTTTTATGTATCACTAGGGACTCTAGTATATCTTAATTCAATAAACTTTAAAGTTGTTTCAAGCTAAATGAAGATCTCTTTGATTCAATGATAAGAAGTCATTGGGGCATTGCTCTTATGGTCCCTTTTTCCCAATTACAAATTGATACATCAGTATTCTTGTTTATGTAGTGATCTCTAAGTTGTATTAAGCATGATCAGTTCCTCAGAGCCCCATTAATAGGTAAGATCAAGTCTTTATAACAAGGAGTATGGGAATTTTAAGGAACTAACTATTGAAAATAATAGGTTTTCATTCTTTTTTAAAAATTTGTGCAAATAATGAGTGTTTATTGAATTTCCTGCTTGTTGTAGACATTTAACTTTTTAATTCTTAAAGTAACTTCAAAATAAATGTTGTTGTATCCACTAAATTCTTTGTTTTGGTAGTATAGAAGATATATTTTGTGATGCTAGTGATTTTATTAGTTCATGTAATGAAAGCTCTGTAGGCAGTATGTAATCCAGTGGCTCCAGTGTGTCAGCAAGGCTAGTGTCTATTCTTCACTGTCTTCTGCTTTCCATAAAAGCATCTTATGATACTTTTCAGATGCTTTCGTCCTAAGACTGCCTTTGTTTGCAGTATTATGTACTGTCTCTCTCAGTTGCACTGTGTTCCTTTTCTCTCAAAAATGCAGTATTTTTCACTCTTCCAGTATCTCTTTGCTTCAGGGGCCTAAACTAAGCCATGTACCTGTCCCTGGACCAATCACTTGGCAAGGAGGATGGACTTTATTGGTTTAGTTAAACCATCTTCATTATTGAGGGTGAAGTTGATACACACTGTAGAGGTGCAGTCTTCAAAAGAACACTGGGGTAACTATTTTTTAATGCAAAATAATTTAGATAGTAAATAGTAATGTGTATTATGTGGTAGACAAATGCTTACAGCTGTACACACATTTTAGTTTTAAAAACTATCTGAGAAATAAGTGGTATTAAATTTCTATTGTACAGAGCTTAAAAAGATTAGAGAAATTACCAAGTCCACATGATTAATCAGACCTAGGTCAGTCTATTTATATTATTTTCATCATCATTAGGACATGTCCATAGTAAACCAAAACTCGGTTATTTAAAATACATTAAGTATTATCTTAGATTATCATCATTGCTGTAGAATTTTAGGAAATTTTATCCTTTCTATCCTATCTTGGTTTAACGTGCAGTGCATCTATACAGAAATAAGCCTTGTAAAGTAGAATTACAAAGGAAAGTTACTTGTCTTCTTTTGCCTTTAAGCACAAGATCCTTATTGCAGTGGTTAAGTAGGTATTCTATGCCATGTGCATCAGGTGTGTGTGTGTGTGTGTGTGTGTATATATATATATAACATGCAAACATATGTAGACTATGTGCTGTATATATGAATAGAGTATATATCACAAATTCTGAGAGGGTTTTAATTTGGCAGCTAAGAAAATGACAAAAGAATTGGTTGAAAGACACAGGCCTTGCCCTCTAAACCTTTGAAATAAATGCATCATATATTAGTCTCTGGTTCTTAAGAGTTATAATCAAATATTGTGCTTAAACATTTCTGGCTAGTCTGAACTATTTTCTGCATATCTTTAGTCCTCTGCCTCTGGGGTAGTTTGCGTCTTGCTTTGGGGTTCCTACTGGTTATACTTGCACAAGGTTCAGACTTTCATGCCTGAATCATAATTAGTTAAGATTTACCAAATGCCTTACATCGATCTGGTTTTCTGCCAAGTAGCTGGCTTGGACTATGGAAATAGGCAGTTCTGCTCCTTCATTTAAGATCACCATCTTGTGCCTCCAAAAACTAAAAATGGGAAACAAATTTAAAAATTGTGCCTCTAGATTTAATGATTTTAAAGAAGAATTTTTTTTCTCAGGCAGAACTTTTGTTGGATTTTTAAAATGACCAGAAATCCCTTCTGTATCTTTGGCTTTGTCACAATATTTTGAAATAGGTCCTTATGTCTCTAACTTGCTGGTTCTTTATTTACCTTATTGAGTTGACAGCATTTTTGCCCAATTCTAAATGCTTGTTAAATGTTTTCTTTATAAATATATATTATTAATCAGTGATATTTGATAATTTGCTAAATAATTTCTGTGTTAAAAATAATTTCAGCAACAAATATTAAACAGCATTTGTTAACTAACAAAGTATTGAACAGCAGAGATGCTATTCCTCCTCAACAGACGTACTGTTTGCAATCTGGGAGGCAGGGGGAGGGCGCACTGAAGAAGTAAATTGTAAAAGGGCAATATTAGACTCATAAAGGTCCTAAATAAGAGCTAACTTTGGAAAGAAATGCTAGCATAGCATAACATACCAAAGTTACATTATGTGTTCATTTTAAATCCAATTGCAGAACAGAGCTTTTCATCTGAAAGTAATTCTATCACTTAAAAACAATGCTGTGTGATTTTGAAACCAGAAGGTTGAACTTTTTCTAAAACAGGCAAACATTTATCTAGCAAAAGAATTGATACGTGAATATGGGCCCAAAGGAGTATCTTGAACTACATATTGATTATAAGTCCATTTTAGTGGACAGTTTTGATAGCTATTAAAGTTCAGACGTTTATGATGACTTTTTTAATACTGACATTATATGTTTTGTTCAGACCTTTAAGCTTAATAGAAACTTTTAGTAAATCATTCAGGAATTTAATAACCTTGGTATTCTTGTAAAATGAATAGAAAAAAATGGTCTAACACCTTTAAGTTTACTTTTTAGGATAAAGCGTATTGATTTTATAAATGGCCCACCCAAATTTGTATAACACTTGGTTCATAAGATAAGGTTTTAGAAAAATGAATATTTTGAGAGATAAGCAGGTATTTATTGTACAGATATTCTCCTTTAAGAAAAGCCATTAAGTCTTCATGTCCAGGCCTTTTCTATATAAAAAAGCATAGATCCCTGCTAAAGCGGGTAAATAAGTTCGCAAAATGGCAATTAAAATGCTAATCTCTCTTACAGAACTCCATTTTAATCTGTCTTACAGAACTCCATTTTAACATTTTAATTCCATTTAACATGGGCCTAACAGAGGAAATGTGAATGATTAAAGAACATGTACTCCATTCTAATATATTTAACTTCTGTGTACTTCAAGAAACTATACTTAACCAAAGGAAAGGAAAAATAATAAGATCCAGCTTTTAAAGTTATGTTATAAATGAATGCAAATGTTAAGGCTGAACCATTCAATATAGTAGTCACTGGCCATAGAGGGGTCTTGAGGTGTTGAAATGTGGTTAGTATTTCTGAATTTTAAATGTCATTTATGTTTACTTGATTTAAATTTAAAAACTGATACTTAATTTTTTGGTGGAAATTTTTAAGCATGTTTAGAACAGCTTAATATATATTAAATCTATTCAATTGTTTTATGAAATGTAAATATTTATCAAATATTTCAGAAGAAGATTTGCATTTAAATTAAGGTATAATCATGAGAATAAAACAGTATATCCCAGAGGCTTTGTATGATAAAGAAGCAAAATATCTCAAGCATAATTTTTAGATTGATGCATATTGGTACAAAATATTTTGGCTATATTGGGATAAAGAAAATATATTTTTAAAATCAATTTTACCTTTTTTAACATTATAAAATGTGGCTAGCAGTAAACTTTAAATTACTGTTTAGATTGTATTATATTCATCTTAGACCATAGTGTCTTAAGTTTTTCTAAGACATAACTAGAATTTGTTAGTTGCACAGAAGTACAGTTATGGCCAATGATTAAACCTTATCAAAATGATAATGTTTCTCTTTTTGTCTGTTATTACAGAGATGGTGATGTGAATACTTACAAATTTTAATTAATCACTGAATCTAGTAACTAATCTGGTATCATTTAATTTTCTCTTTAACTCATAATGATTATCATCTTCCATTAGTGTTAGGGAAGATCAAATTCTTTAGAAGATTTTAGTGAACAAATTGTTGAAAATCATGACATGAAAGTATGGCTTTGACAGAATATGATTATGCTTTGGGTAATGTGCAGTGTAAAGCACTTACAGTACCTTCACAGTATCTAGAAAAGCTTATGGTGTCTGCTTTCTATCCAGCCATATTCTTTCCATGTTTAATTTTATCCCCTCCAAAACAAATGGGGGCAAAAAGCATGGCCAATAATGTAATGCCTTTTATTTTGTCAGGTATCCCTAATAGGCTATAATTGCAAGTTTCATCATAAATTTCTCTCATTGTTTTGTTGATTCCTCTAGGAGGTGATTTCCTCACTTTTCTGAGAAAGAAGAAAGATGAACTAAAACTCCAACAGTTAGTGACATTTTCCTCAGATATTGCTGCTGGTATGTTTTATCTCGAGAGTAAAAACTGTATACACAGGTAAGGAGAATATTTATAAAGCATTTTTCACCTTTTTACTAGAATGCTAGAAAGTGGTATATTTGCTATAATGTAGTAGTAAATATATTTTATACAACATATATTTTCATGGTGGTGTTTACATTTTGTGTGAAAACATTCTTTGCTGGTTGCTATGTTCACAGAAACACTTGTTTTCCTCTTACTTGACTAAGTACCTAATTACGCCATAACTTGCCTCTTATAAGTTTGTTTTGTAATCATGAATAATAGTGACTAGACATATACTATAATTTAGTAATGTTAAACTACAGCCTTATAATAAAAACTGTTTCCTATATTACTTATTCTCATTCTTCAAAATCATGTAACAGAGTAAAACAATAATGAACGACAGTGAATTTGGCTAAGGTTAGGAGCTTTTAGCATACTAGTTAGAGTATTTCAAAGGAGATTTTAGAAAATATTCTGTGATTATCCATAGTGTCTTACTGTATAATAGATTGTGGTTTTTTTTTAGTTGCTTGTAGTCACAAATGATCTTTACTCTTGAATGTCAGTGCAGCTAGAAATCTGTTAGAGAATTCATGTCAAATGCTAAATATGGCCAAGTGGGGAACAGGTGTGGTTTGTGTTCACTGGAAACAGTGCATTGTACCTACATAATACTAGTGCAGGGTTCATGTCAGAGTGAGCTATTATAAACTACCCAAACTGGTTTAATTATGGAAGTACACTTTTTTTGTGAGGTTTCTCATTTTGTGACCTTTGACTTGACATTCAGGTAGCACTGTATAATACATAAGTACAGCAAAACAAAGTTATCTTCACCTTTTCTATATGTTTATTCGATCTCAGTGGATATTCTTGACCATAATTTTCCCAAAACATTTTGCTCACTATTTAGTTCTGGAACTGAAATGGTGACCTAATTTTCAAATATGGCTCAACATTTACATACATCTTAAAATGCATTTCAGTGAAATTATTTTCTTGGAAGTTAAGACAACTAAAACTTAGCCACTGTCATTGTATTTGTTTCACTTTCTATAAACTATCACGTTATAAGAGTTTTATTTTTGAATACTTTAAAAGCATTTGAATTCATAAAAGAATTGTATTATAATTAATGTTATAAGGGGTAAACATTGTTTTAAATTACATTAAAAGTGTGTTGAGATATTAAGGTCTTTTTCCTATCAAATATTGCATCAAGTACTTTGGTTACTATTTTTTTCAGACTATTAGGCAACCTATGACTTTAAGCCATAACAAATCACATTAGGAAGAGTATTTTATCCATCAGTTACCAATAATATTTTAAAATTTTTAATGCATTGCAGTTGAGGGAACCATTGTTTCAATTTCTTGCTACTTGCAATGATTACTTTTTTCATAAATGGATGTTTTGTTTTTTAATCATTAGCATTAAAACCATTTCAGGATATAAATGGTAGTTTTTAAAAATTTATCCTTTGCACCAAATCCTTGTATTTTCTGTGGTAATGTTGTTGTCCCACCTTGCCTTCTAAGATTTTTCATAGGATTTTGAAAGTCAGCCTTGCTTGACCACAAATGCCAGCAGGTTGTGCATAGACCTGTAGCTCTTGCCTGCTGGTAAGGGTTCCTGACTGAACATCGCGCACAGTGTCACTGAGGGCAGGTCTGCTGAGCAGGTTTCGGCAGTAGTGCCAAATTCTGCAAGCAGTAGCAGCTCTCACGTTGAGAGTTCCAGCATCAGCTACAGGGAGTCAATAAGTGATTATTCACATCTGAGAGGCATAACACACAAGTGCCGAATCTGTCATGCTTGGCACAGAGTATCTTGTTATCTTCATTCTTATAAATACATTTCTAGTTTTTAAAATGTTTGATATGATTTTTCCTCACTAACTACTTTGTAGTAACAGTATAATATTTTTGTTACCACTTCTATTGAATTCTTCTAAACTGTCTTTTATCTTATTTCTGTTGTTAGAGATGAGAGCTAGATGAATCACGTCTTCAGCCACTGATCTTTTTCCCTTCTTCAAACCTGTGTAAATGCTCTTTTACATGAATTTATTGTTCTCTTTTCACTTTAGTACCTCACCAATACATGGTATTATATTGAGAAAATAAATCATTCTTTGTGTTCAATTTTTTTATAGTAGCAAATTGTGTTGTAGGACCTGTTCCTGTGGCCAGCCTGTAGAACTATTGCTCTGACAGCAGTAGTGATCACAATAGGATAAAATTCTACTTATTTCATTTATAGTTGACTTCATTTATAGTTAAACATTTAAGATACATTATCAAAGAAATATCAAAGAAAAAATATACAGTTCTTAATATAGTGGAAATTTATTTTCCTTTGGAAAATTTTCTATAAAGTATTTCTGAAATTAATTAAAATATAAAACATGATCAAAAGTTTCTTTTTAGATAATGAGCAAAAGCCCTAAATCCCATTTCTGACATTCCAAAATATTACTAAAATAAATGCATATCTCTGAATTATAGTTTGTCTAACAAATTCAAATAAAACTTTATGTTATAACAGCTTATATATTTTTGTTGTTACTGACTAGAGGGCACTAGAATTCAGTACTTGAAAATATTTATAATTGTCTCACCCAAATATTGTCTCACCCAAATATAGTCTCTTTACCTCTGGGGGGACATATTTTTTTCTAACTTTTCTATTTTTATTACTGTGAGAACAGAGCAGTGTCTTGTTATAGAAAAACAAATATGACAAATATGATAAATATAAAGTAGAAATGTATAATTACATTAAGAAATAACTTCAATTGTTGTTCTTGTGAGTTCTACTTCCAGGAAATACTCTTAAATTAATACTCTTAAGTTCCTAATTGTAACAGTTTCCCCTTATAGTTTGAGGATTCCTGGATGTCTTGTAGTTTTGTTTAGTTTTAATCACCTGCATTTTCTTTATAATTATTCTTTAAACCAATGTGCAGTTTTCTTCATACTTGTATTTTATGGGATTATTTCAAATACACTGACCAATTTTACCCTTATGACATTTATGACAATTTTACAAATTGACATTATGGTTTATTACTGATGACCTCTTTTGTAGAATATATTTTTATTTGGGGTTATACCTTTGATGTTTGTTTGATATCTATGGATATTTAAAAGGAGATAAACTATTGGATATGGATTCTAGTTAAATATCATAGTAGCACATTGTGGGAACATTTCTTTGTTTCATACTATTCAAAGTCACTATCATTTTCAGAAAGTTTTTAGGGGGGTGAGGTATAATATGATTTCGTTTTCCTTTTTAAATTTTGGACTGATTCTACAGTTTGATAGTTCTGTTTGATTTTTTGATTGTGTTGCATTTGTCGTGGAGTAAGAACAAATTCAAGTCTGTCAGACCACATTTATTTTATTACTCACTCAGGGTTTTATATATTCATTGAGAAATGGAGTTTCCAGTACATGTTGAGCCTTCCTAATCTGAAATGCTCTAAAATCTGAAAAATTTTGAGCACCAAGATGATGTCACAAGTAGAAAATTCCATAACCTGTGGATGTGGATAGTTGATTATCTGTACCAAGGGATTTCCAATAGGAAAATCATGGCCCCTGCCTTCAGATGGATACAACATAAAAATTAATGCAAAGAGATAATCAGTTTTATGTTAACATAAATACATTGTTTTAGGAATAATATTAAGACTGTGTGATATGACCTGTTGGTATAGAAATTGTGGGAACTGTCAGGGGAAGCTTTGCAGAGTGTAGTGAAACTTGATGGATGAGTGTTTTGTTGGGAAGGAGGAGACAAAGTATTCCAGCTACAGAAAAGTTGAAAACATAGTTAAAACGTCGTGCATGAGAAGGCATCACTTCATCAAGGAACTGATGAATTGTTATTACCAGGATGGGAAATTCAAAGGAGATAGGGCTGAATCAGGTAAACCGGAATATTCTCAAAAGCCGTGTATATCATCTAATTTTCTCTAAGCTGGAGGAATGAATATACATTCGGATTACTTTAAGAAAGTAGAAGTGCTGTGGTTTTTAACTGGAAAAGTACTTTGAACTTCTGGAAAAGTAGTTTAAACAAAGTTACAAAACTGATAAGTGTATAATCTCATGAAAATATGTAAGTATGAGACCAATTTTATTTTTAAATTTCACTAGAGAAACTAATTTAGGAAAGTTCAGATTGCCCAGAAAAGAATAACATTTCATTTCCCTCATGTGTTCTACAAGCAGATTGCCTCATCCAGTGATTCAGCATATCTACTTTTAAAAATAAATGAAAGATTCCATTTCTACCTTATTTTTTGAGACTTCTTATTTTATGAGGTAGAAAGCAACAAGGGACCAATATAACATCTCTTCCTGTCCTTCTCTCTGTGTTCACTTGGGCTTTTATTTCTTTCTCTACTGCTCCATTTCCCTTTTGTTCTAAAGACTACATCCCTCTACACGTTTACAAGAGCTCTCAAATGACCTATGATTCAATACTCTATAACCATCTGGACACAGTCTTTGTAGCATTTTCCCCCAGTGATCTTTGAGGATTTTTTCTCTATTTCTTAAGTAGCTGATCACATGTGTCTGAGCACTTCCTAAACTTTGAATGTACTAAAGAGGTATTTTATACCTAATATATTTAAGTAGGAGGACAGCAACAAAATCAACAGGTGGAAAAAATGTATGCATATAAAAATGAAATCATTTTTGATCTTTCTGAGCCCTTCATCATTTCTAGTTCATGATCTACCATATACTCAATAGCAGGCACTTAAAGACCACTTTAAGTAACTGAAGCCAAGAGAGTTTCAGTGGAGGTCACCCAGACAATTAATGGTAGGGCTACCGGTAGATCTTGGATTAGCTGACTCCGTTCTAACATAGTTCTCATTGCAGTGCCAGGGTTTTACTTTCTCATTGTAGTACAACTTGAGTTTTCCTTATCTGAAGTGCTTGGGACGATTGGTGTTTTAGATTTCAAGAGGTTTTCATATTTTTGAAACATTTGCATATATATAATG